GGTCAAATATTGATGTAATGCTCTTATATTGAAAGCAAAAAAAAAAAAAAAAAAAATCATTTTTCACAACATTTAGGGTCAAGAAATTGACCTGCATTTTTTTTTTTTTTAAATTGAACTATCTTTGTTAAGTTTTGGAGTAAATGTTATACTTATGCTCAGCATGTACATATTCACTCCAGGTCCATTCTGTTCTATTCTCCACCCTGCTTTCTTGCCCCAGAAGGCTGACCTGTATGAATTATAGTAATAAGCTGTAATTATAGAGGATATAACAACTAGGATGCCGCTAACCTCAGATTTTTCATTGTTTTGAGGTTCACATATGTCTTGAATTTTCTTATTTTTATGGGACCTGAGCTGATACAGTGATTGGGAATAGAAGTGACTTCAGAAAATAATCCCTCAAAATGGGAATCTAAGATTGGGTTGCTTTGGGTTTACAATGACTATCCAGATAACCTCTTTGCTAGGGTGAAAATGGGTGAGTTCACCCTGGCATTTGGTGTCATTCAATTACTCAGAAAAGTGCTAGTAGTAGTATAACAAGAATTGAAGAAGGCGAGTAAATCATTGGGCAATCATGTGATTGTCACTTAGATGGCACGGAAATAATAGCGATCATAGAGAATTCTTAAGCTCCTGACTTTTTTACAGTTGAAGAGAGTAAGCACAGACAAAAAGGATATTGCAAGCCATAAATAAACCATTTAAAAGATATGTGGAAAATCAGAATATCTTTGTGGCAGATTTGAAGGAGTTTTTATCATCGGAGTTCTAGGACAGCTGTGACTAAGAATGAATCCCATAGTCTGATTGTACATCTAGCTTTTAAATATCAACTGACCAGGCTTTTATGCTAAATAAGAAGTGAGACCTTGAGACACGAGATGAATACATTTCAGCAGTTCTGATTGAGGCTGTGTTTGATTCTCCAATTCCCTCAAGCCACCCTCGTCTATGGAGGAAGACCTCCTTCCCCCAATACCCTCCCACCCCACACACATACATCTAAGATAATCAACCGCCCTCAGCATAAAAGACTCAGTGGTTACACCTGGGGAAGTGCCCCATCACCTAAATTTGTTTACAGGCTTACACCAGAAACTAGTTCACAATGTAACCTGGATAGTGAGGTATAAGGTCTGTTCTGAGAATAGATAGCTTAAACATCAAAAAAATGAAGACCTCCCAATTTGTATCAGTGGGAGTTAGGGGAGCATGTGTAGTAAAGGATTATAAAGATGTTAGACCAACAGGGAAGAAACCTAAAATTCAAGTCTGTTAAATTCATTGCTATGGACACTTACCTGGGATTCAGAATTTAAAATGTTGGCTCATGCACACAGAAGTAGCATTAATATTCTACTAGGATGATTAATTGAATCCTGAACAAAATATTGATTTATGGTTAACAGGCTGAAAACGCTACAATTTTTGTTGCACACTGTAAAAGGAAGTGGATGGGTTAGAAAAGAAGTATTATGGGTGATCTCCTCAGCCAACCCCTAAATACTATCACTGGATAGAATGGGGCGGAGGTGGGGGGCCTGGAGAATGATCATTCACCAATGCATTAAGAAATGCATTGGAAGGATTATAAACATCCCTGAAGAGTTCTATGGTGATGGTCATCAGTAGACTGGAGATGATAGTGGAGATGCTTCAGGGGAATTGAATTCCCTGATATCAATAAGAAGAATAGTATTCCAGAGGATGAAAGGCGGGAGGCAACAATTAACTGAAGTGGACAACAACCAATATAAACTTGAAATTTAGGGTAATGATTAGTGTTTTGACTTGCAGGGATCTGTAGAAATGACTAATTTATTTCTAGAAATGAAACAGATACTCTATAAATGTGCAGCTTGTCATATATTTGATGGACAAATACTTAACTTACTAATGTGGTCATTCACGGCCTCTTACCCAATTTCCAAGGAGCCCTGATGTCAAAGTGGTTAAGCACTTGGCTGCTAACTGAAAGATCAACATTTCGAACCCACCAGCTGCTCCTCTGGAGAAAGATATGGCAGTCTTCTTCTGTAAAGATTATAGTCTTGGAAACCCTATGGGGCGGTTCTACTCTGTCCTATAGGGTTGCTACAAGTCGGAATCAACTAGAGGGCAACAGGTTTGGTTTTTTTGGTTACCCAGTTCTAGGCCAATTCCCAAGGAACCTGGGTAGTGCAAGTGGTTTGTGATCAGCTGCTAACCTAAAGGTTGGTGGTTTGAACCCACCCAGCAGCTTCACAGAAGAAAGACCTGGCAATCTGCTTCCATTAAGATTACAGCCAAGAAAACCCTATGGAGCAGTTCTACTCTGTAATACATGGGGTCGCCTTGAGTCAGGGGATTACTTGACAGCAGCTAACAACAACAAGTCAATTACCAAACCAAAAACCTCTTGATTGTGGGAGAGATGGGTAACTTTGAGGAAAGACACAGCAACGTGGCAACAATTATATCCTGAGAATCTGGATCCAATCTCCTCAGAGGGACCTGGGCACTGGATAAAGGAAAATACCCAGATCTTTTGGGGGTTATTAGATACTGGATGTAAACCTATGCTGATCCCAAGAGACCCAAAATGCCTCTGTGATCTACTGGTCAGAGTAGGGAGTCATGAAGGTTGGGTATCAGGTCTACCAAGGTTTGAGACTATTTGAAACTGGACTTCAATCCCTGTGCTGTATTTCTTGTTCAGTCTTTCTCCCGTAATGTTCCCATGTGGAAGGTCATGAACTCTAATTTTTGTCCTCTAGCTCTATGTATCTCAACCCCTTGACTTTTCGGTAGTCTCCTCCAGAATTACCAAATTCTGCTGGGAAAGGTGCCCTCAAATACCAGGACAACCAGGTTTCTCTCTTCTCTTGGATCCTAATCCTAACTTTTTGTTAGGGTTCTGATGCCTTCAAACCAATTTTTTCCATTATATTTTTTAGCTTTTCTAGCTGTTCCTAGTGGGTAGGTTGATTCAAATTACCTAGTTCACTATTCCTAAAAGAAGAACTACTAATCTCTGTATTTCAGTTGAAGTAAATATTTTAATTAAAGCATAGTATGTATAAAATACATACAGAAAAGTACACAAATTATAAGCATATAACTTGATGAATTTTTAAAATTGAACACACCAGATAAATAAATACTATGAGAATCCTGTAAGTCTCCATTGCGCCTCTTCCCAGGTATCACCTCCCCAAACATAACCTTTATTCTAATTTCTGTCACCCCAGTTTTGCCTGTTTTGATCATTATACACATAGAATCATGTAGTGTCTGGTTTATTTGTCCACATATCAGGTCCCTGAGAATTTTATGGTTTTCCTTTGATTTTGTTTTTATAATTTCTATTTTATTCTTTTCCAGAAGCTGAGTAAAGTTGCCTTCTACCAGGGAGAATTTGTGTTTGCTTCTGGCAGATCTTTAGAGGCTCTACCAGTTTAGGTCCACATTAAATCAAATTCTGAGCTTGGGATTCTTAGGCCAACTGATGATTCAAATTTAAGCTACAAATCAGAAGGAGGTTCTACTAATGTTTACAAGCTCTCGGGGATGGGATTTTCTTCCCGATCTCTGGCTCAGATCCTTGGTCAGCCACAAAACAACTTTCCCATCAGTGCCTCTTGTCAGTGGGACAAGAGATGGCTATAGTTCTGGTTCATCTTTATATTAAGACGTTGTCATTCAGAGTTCCAGCTTAAAACAAAGGATCTACTTTTGATTCACGCCTTTGGTGAGCCCTGGATTTTGATTTCTGTCAGCCTTATCTTGTGAATCCCTCAAATCAACAGCTCAGGTTTGCAACTCCATCCCAACAGGTAAAAGTCCTCAGAGTAGAAGCAACTTCCAGTGTTCTGCTCATCTCTCTGTAGTCTTGTTTTCTCTCATTTTGTCTGAAAATGCTTACTATGTTTTCAACTCATCAGTATATTTACAAAGATTTTAAAAAATTTTTTCCCAGAAATTTTAGTTGTTTTCATAAAAAGAGGATTTTCTCAAATACCCAGACTAGGCACTATCAGAAACAGAAGCTTTCAGCCTTCCTTCTCACTCCTTTTTCTTTTGAAGGCTCTAGACACAAACATTCAGTAGGTATTTTTTCATTCCTAATGCTTCTATTACTACTTAGCTTTCTTTTTCCAGAATGTTCTTGTTCATAAAGTTGTTGGCTGAATCTCAGCCCTGGTTGTGTTCAAGAGAATCTTCACTGTGGGGTGTTCCTCCTTATGGTTGCCCTGTTGTTCATTGCCACATGTTTCATTATTACCCACAGTATGCTTATGTCTTCCTTCTCTACTAGGTCAGGTCAATTCATATAATTTATTTATCTTTGTATTGCTATGATGCCTAATGCAGTGTTTCCAAGTAATGGCGCTTGATGAACGGTTGCTAAATAAAAGCCATTCCCTTATAATACCTCCATGAAAGGAACAAAGCAATCCAGTTGACTTTTAATTCAGGCTTTGGGTACTGAAGCGGTATAGATACTATCTACATAATCCCCCAAAGTGCATAGCATACCTGCATTCATCTCTTAGGCTTTATCACATCAGTCTTCGTGTAAACCTCCAGGTTGGAAACTTTGCTTTTTCCTGGCACCTGTTTTGCAACCTTTTTGTCAGAAAGTAACTGAACTCACCAATGGTACAAGAATGCTTATCTACATTTTTATTGATTTACAGAGATAGAAAGTTTTTTGCAATGTGAATTATTCTCTTCTGGTATTTAATAAGATGTCCTTGCCCAAGTTTAGTCATTTATTTTCTCTCTTGCTTTAGCTCTCCTTAAGTCTCAGAGGGCCCTAGTCCTCAAAATCTCAGAAGGCTATAAATATAGTCCAACCTAATTATAGACTCAGAATTGACATATGGATGTAGGATGGGCTATTTTCAGCCTCTTATTTAAGATTTTAAAAAGTGTAGACATCTAAGCATCCGAATAAACCTTTTATGAAGTGTTTCAGTGCATTTTTTTCCAATCATTTAATCCATCAGGACAGATGTCAATGGTTTTCCAATTGACCTTCTATAGCTGCCTGGTTAAACGTTTAAAACACTTCCAAGACTTTGAATCATCAAATTGAAAGTCATATGTCAGCTTCCTTGATCTTTTGGACATAAATAGGTAAGTATATTTTCTTTCTCAGCTGCTATCTGAAAGAGGAAACATTTCACATTTGAATACATTTGTAGGAATGGTTTTTATTGTTATGAAAAATGTTCTGTATCAACGCAAAATTTTATTTGCTTTTTCTCTTGAAATGAGAGAAGTTTCCACTCTGACAGAGTGCACATACACACACAATTTATATCAAAATTTATGCAGACATACATACACACACCACATTCAACCTATCAGATTGGAATGTTTGGGAGTCAAGTAATCAAAGTAACAAAGGGGAAGGAAAGCTCATCAGCATAGGCTCCCTTTTTTTTTTTTTTTTTAATAAAAGGTGATTTTGAGAAAAGTGAAAATTTAGGAATGATACAAACTGTAGTAGAAAAGCAGAGAACACATTGTAGGGAAAATCATAGTATATGAAAAAGCTCAAAAACGAAAGTATAATTAAACCACATCACCATTCATTAAGTATTTAATTATAGTTCATTATGTACCCGGTACTGTAGTGAGGGCTGCAGATCATTTAGAATGCATTGCTATGGTCCTTGGTCCAAAGGAGCATGCAATCTAATTGGAGAGATGAGACATATCAGTACCAGTACTAGTACCAGTTGCCGTTAGTCAATTCTGACTCGTGGCAAACCCCCTCCCCATCTCCCTGTGTCTGAGTAGAACTGCGCTCCATAGGGTTTTCAATGGCTAATTTTTCAGAAGTAGATAGTCAGACCTTTCTTCCAAGGGGCCTCTGGGTGGACTCAAACCTCCAGCCTTTCTGTTAGCAACCAATCATGTTAACCACTGATATGATGAGTAAGTTAGACATTATCTTGTATTACTTTATAATTAATTTGGCTATAAATATCTTGGAGACCGTGGGTGGTGCAAATCATTAACAAGCTCAGCTGCAAACTGAAATGTTGGAGGTAGGCAAAGGCTCCTTGGAAAAAAGCCTAGCAATCTACTTCCCAAAAAGTCAGCCATTGAAAATCCCATGGAGCACAGTTCTACTGGACATGGAGTTGCCATGAGCTACAGTCAACTTGACAGCAACTGGTACTAAAGAGGAAGACCATCTGTGTTGTCTCTATTAGTAAATGAAGGTTTATTAGAGAAGATGGGACACAGAGCGGTCCTTGAGAAGAATTTGAATAAGGAAGAGAACAGACAATAGACTTACATGAAACAGTATGAGAAAAGGTACAAAAGCAGCACTATGATTGTGGCCAGGAATAGAGTTTATATTGGATATAACCAAATTCTTATTTGAGACACATACACACACACACACACACACACACACACACACAAAAGCTGATGATTTAGGGTGTTGCTGAAAGTCGATTAATTCACAAAACTGTGAATAAAATGAAACAGCACTCCTCTTGACCCTCGCTATCTTCTGTGTGTTTTTGCCATGTCCTTGACTTGCCTGCTTATCCTCTCACTTTTCTCCTTTCCTCTCCTCACCTTAATCTTAGACTTAGAGAGAAAATAGTTCATTAAAACTGGACACTGCCAGAAAATTCAGAAATGAATAAAAGGAGTTTTGCTTGAACAAGCAGTATGGAACCATGTTTCAGTCTCTTGGAAACAGAGTGTGGGGCAGACAGTCTTCTGGCAAAGTAAAGAATGGATAACATATAATGTGGTGGATAGAACACTTGATTAGAAATTAGAAGACTTGAATTCTTGTACTGACTCTACTATTTGAACATATTATTTATTTTCTTAGACTATTTAGTTGAAAAACATTGAGCCCATAGCAAACCAGAAACTATGCTAGATACTGGGGATTCAACTATTAATAAGACACATGACCCCTGCCAATAAAAAGCTTATAATCTACAGAAGGAGCCACACATATAGGCAGATGAGTTCAATTCAACACGGTATAAGTGTAATGATGAGGATGTTCACAGATTAGTCTTCTTAGAGAAGGACACCAGTCCACTTGCCTTACCTGTAAGATGAGTCTACTATGTTGTGAGGTCAAAATGAGGTCACTTAAATGAAAGTATATTGTTTTCTGCAAAGTCTGATACAAAGGAGAGTTTATAGAAATACCTAAGCAAGTTATCCACGGCAGAGATGATGAATAGTGAATGTACAAACATGTGTCATGCCAAGCAGCCCCTTTCATTTTATAACCTTTACACTAGCCAACAAGTTGGGAGATGTTGAGCAGTGCAGGCATTATACCTGGATTCTCCTGAATCTCTGGGTATAATCCTGAAGGTGAAAACGATTAGGACTCTGGGAGGAGGGATGGCCTAGATTATAAGATAATGTAACTTTCTTGAGATAGTCTTTTCTCTTTCCCTTCATCCTAACACTTTCTGGCTGTTTCATCTGCAAGAGATTCAAAGTGGTCCTCGATATTCCATCTCCTTAACTCCATTATCTTAGCCTCAGTCTTCCTGCTCCACCCCTCATCCAAGGGATAATTAATCTATTTCCCTCATAGACAGGAATCCCATAGCCTTCTGGCCCAGGTCTTATGAGTATGTCTCCTCCTCCCAAATCCGTAAGCATACAGAGCAATTGTAGTAGGATCATAAAAGGGAACCCAGAGGTTCTATAACTATGGGTAGATTCATTCAAGAACTACAAGGATGTAAACTTATGAGTCAAATGCTGGGTAACTCTGTCCCAATTCAGAGATTCAGGGTCTCCTTTGTATTTGAGTATCAAACCCAGAATATTTGCCTCTCAACTCCTATGAGCATGATCTGTGTGACGATGATAATAACATCTAACTCATGGGTTGTGTCACTATGTGGTACACATTGTTTCGAGCACTTTACTCATATTATCTAAGTTGTCTTATAACAACCCTACGTAGTATGCACTATTTTTTATGTTGTACAGATGAATCTGTTTTACAGATTTACTGAGTCGTATTGAAATTCATAAATCTCACATTCCAGTATTCTGGCTTCTGAGAGTCCATGCTCTGAACCACTATGCTTTATTGCCTTTATAAAAATGTTAATTAAATGGATTTCGATATTAGGGAAAGAAATTGACATATCAAGACAGCTTATATATACTAGAGTATAAGGAGATACATGTAGTACAAGAAAATAATTTAAACTTTCTTTTCATTATGTAAAAGTGATGTTCTATAGAATTAAATTCATATAAACTACATGGCATTATGTTGAATGAGAAAAGGTACAAAAGCAATACGTTGGTTGCAGCCAAGAATAGAGGATATATTGGATATAACCAAATTCTTGAAGTACATTATATTGCAAATGTCAGTGTGAATTGATTATTCCTTTTATTTTATTCATTAATTCAACAAATATAATTTTGATTGTTCATGTCTCAAAGGTATGCTTCTTCCTATCAGTTTGTTGGTCATGAAGTACAGTCCTATGCTCCAATTTTCTAAAAAGTGGAAGAAATGATAGAAATATTGATCTTACTGGACTTTCTGAAGAAATGTGAAGGAGATAAAGGGCACTGATTTCCAGAGTGAAAGAGGGCATTTTCAGGAAGGGAAGTGGAAATTAAGAAAGACAAATCAATTAACTTTACAGAATATGAGGAAGTGTACGTGTGAATCCAAGCAACATAAAACAGATACGATGGAATGAGAGAAGAAATGAGATGAAATAGCAAGCCTTAGAAGGAAAGCTTAGAGCTTAAGATTTTCAAACTTAGTATATGGAATCAGAAAACCTTTCGTATGTGTCCTCAGGTTGGTTAATAACATTTCTGTTTCTCAATTTCCTATTTCATAATACAGGGACAGTCATACCTACCCAACAGTGTATTATGCAATTTCATGTACTGTTTATGCAATTTTAGATATAATAGATACTGAACACAAAAGTGCAAGAGAAGTTAAACAAAATAGTTAAGATTTTGGAATATGAAAACTTAGGGAAAAAAAGCATTATTTTGAAAGAGGGTTAATACCTTGGAAGTATAATGGGGAGTGGAAGGGATCAAGAATAGGAGATGTACAAACGATTATCAAAGATATATATAAACAGGGTGTCTTAGTCATCTAGTGCTGCCATAACAGAAATACCACATGTGGTTGGTTTTAACAAAGAGAAGCTTATTTCCTCATTTCCTTATTTCCTGTTAAAGTAGGCTAGAAGTCCAAATTCCAGGCGTCAGCTCCAAGGGATGGTTTTTTCTCTCTGTCAGCCTTCTCTTCAGTGTTCCCCTGGACTAGGAGCTTCTCTGCGCAGGGACCCCGGTCCAACGGATGTGCTCTGCTCCCAGCACTGCTTTCTTGATGGTATGCGGTCCCCCTGTCTCACTGCTCACTTTTCTATCTTTTATATCTTTATGTCTTTTATCTCAAGAGATTGCCTCAGGACACAATCCAATCTTGTAAATTGAGTGCTGCCTCACTAACACAACTGCTGCCCATCCTCCCTCATTAACATCATAGAGGCAGGATTTACAACATATAGGAAAATCACACAATACCGGGAATCATGGCCCAGCCAAACTGATAGACACATTTTTGGGGGGGGGGCATAATTCAATCCATGACACAGGGCAAATGACTTAGGGAGGGAATCCACTACTACCGCCAAAAGATTTTGTTTTTTATGGTCATTTAAAAAGCCAGGAGTGCTATAAAGGATGACAAGTTAAGAAAAGATGGAACAAATACAGGTTTTATCTTATTCTAAAAATATGTGTTGTTTGTATTTTCTGAGCGTTTGTAGCAACAAAATAGTTTAGACATGATAGCACTCTTTCTCTAAGTGAAAGCCGTATTATAAAACGGCACTTTATAAAATTTAAGGGAAGAAAATGTTCAGAGTTAATTCCTCAGCAGTTTTGCTTTTAAGAAGCAGTTACATCCGCTTCGTCTCATATGGACTAGTAGAAAGTTTTGAAAGGGAATGATGTAGAGACAGAATGGGGGAGAGGGTCCATTTCCTGAAACAAATTAGGGCAGATGCTGTGGCTCTTCTGTCACTAAGATCAAAGTGCCTTCAATCAAAAAACCAAACCCATTGCCATTCAGTCAATTCTAACTCATGGCTAGCCCATTTGTTACAGAGCAGAACTGCCTCATAGGATTTTCTTGGTGGTAATCTTCATGAAATCAGGCCTTTCTTCCGTGGCGCAGCTGGGTGGGTTTGAACCTTCAACCTTTAGGTTAATAGTCGAGCACAAACCGTTGTGCCACCATCCCATTTGAAATTGAATAATGGAAACGTGTATACTAATCATAGCATAGGAAATCTCCCTTCCTTCCTCAAATCACCGCTTCCATCCTGACTCTTCAAAGATGCCTTCTGATGTAACTCAAATGATAAGGGTTGGATTCTCTGACTCTTCTCAGCCAGAGATTGTTGTTGAACTTAAAAAAAAAATTTGCGTTTATCATTGTACCTGTCTGCCAATTCTAACTGGTCACAGATATATTGCCCCCATCTCAGCAGACCACTGATGTGATTCTAAGTGATCAGAGCACAGGTATATCGTGCTATCAATAATCAACTGCACAAACAGATGTTAGAAATGGCATGCATCATTTACATATTTGGGTATTCCAAAAGTAATTTGTTTTTCACTTTGAAAATCACAACATCTTTTATAGAAGCAGCAGATTAACCTTGTTTATGTTTGGACAGCTGCCAAAAAGAGATGGAAATAGTCTGTTATGCATTAAAATATATTTAGAATCATAACATTAAAATATGCTTATTGCTAAATATTTGGAAAACATAAAAATATATCAGAAACAAAGCCAAAATCATCTCTAACCTTATTAGAAATATGGCTTTGTATGCTGCCTTTTTACTTACAATACTTGGAGAATTTTCTCATGCCATTGAATAATCTTTGAATATATTAAGCATCTGCTTCCTTTAGCTTTTGGTGATTTCTATAATATAGTTAATAATCATTCTCTCATTATGGGAGATTAATAATTTCTTATAAAAATCATCAAAGAGTGTATCTATATTCTAGATCTGACAATATGATAAAGGGAGCCGTGATGACACAGTGGTTAAGTGCTCAGCTGCTAACCAAGAACGTCAGTGGTTTTAACCACCAGCCGCTCTTTAGGACAGTCTGCTTCCTTAAAGATTAAACTCAAGGCCATTGGGTCAATTCTGACTCATAGATACCCTACAGGACAGAGCAGAACTGCCCCATAGCGTTTCCAAGGAGCATCTGTTGGATTCGAACTGCCAGCCTTTTGGTTAGCAGCTGAGCTCTTAACCATAACACTACCAAGGATCCAGTGGTCTGTAAAAATGACAGCCTTGGAAACCATATGGGGCAGTTCTACTCTGTCCTATGGGTTGCTATCAGTCAGAATTGACTTGACGGCAATGAATTTTTTGTTTGTTTTGGACAAAATGATACTTAAAGTGAAGGCATTAGGGAAATATTCTTGTTACAATAATAATAATTTTCTCTCTCCCAAACTCATTCACAGAAAGAAGATTTCCACATGCAAGTTTTCAACAGAACCACTGTGGTCACACAGTTCATCCTGGTGGGCTTTTCCAGCCTGGGGGAGCTCCAGCTGCTGCTTTTTGTCATCTTCCTTCTGCTGTACTTGACAATCCTGGTGGCTAATGCAACCATTATGGCTGTCATCCGCTTCAGTTGGACGCTACACACGCCCATGTATGGCTTTCTATTCATCCTTTCCTTTTCTGAATCCTGCTACACATTTGTCATCATCCCTCAGCTGCTGGTCCACTTGCTCTCAGCCACCAAGACTATCTCCTTCGTGGCCTGTGCTACCCAGCTCTTCTTTTTCCTTGGTTTTGCCTGTACCAACTGCTTTCTCATTGCAGTCATGGGGTATGATCGCTATGTGGCAATTTGCTATCCCCTGAGGTACACACTCCCCATGAGCAAAAGGCTAGGGTTGGGGTTGGTTTCCCTGTCAGGAGTCACAGGGCTCTTAATTGCTTTGGTGGCCACCAACCTCATCTGTGACATGCCTTTTTGTGGCCCAAACAGGGTCAACCAGTATTTCTGTGACATGGCACCTGTTATCAAGTTGGCCTGCAAAGACACCCACATGAAAGAACTGGCACTATTCACCCTCAGCATCCTGGTTATCATGGTGCCCTTTTTGCTAATTCTCATATCTTATGGCTTCATTGTTAACACCATCCTGAAGATCCCCTCAGCTGAGGGCAAGAGGAAAGCCTTTGCCACCTGTGCCTCCCACCTCACTGTGGTCTTTGTCCACTATGGCTGTGCCTCCATCCTCTACCTTCGACCCAAGTCCAAGTCTGCCTCAGACAAGGATCAGTTGGTGGCAGTGACCTACACTGTGGTTACTCCCCTACTTAATCCTCTTGTCTGCAGTCTGAGGAACCAGGAGGTGAAGACCGCACTAAAAAGATTTCTGGGCATGCCTGTGGCAACCAAGGTGATCTAAAGAAAAATTTAAAATTTAACCAGAAAGTCAAGGGAGAAGTCAAAGGCATGACATTTTCTCTGTCCCTTTATCAGTCTATGTATGACTTGGGCAATGTGTCCAAGGATTGAGATCACTGTTGTTTCTTCTTTCCTCTCATTCTAGAAAAAGTTTGGGCCACTCTACAGGCTACATTGTCCAATGTCTGGTCAAAAAAGGACTCACACTTGACAAAGAGAGGAAAGCATGCTGGTTTCTCAAGGGAAAACACAATCACCAAGCTGAAAGGAGGACAAGGATTACTTTTCTGTTTGGATTGAGAAAACAGGGTCTGTAGTTACTGGAAGAACCTTATTCAGAATACAAGCATTCATAATAAATGCACTATGTGTCAAGCTCTATCCTAAGTGAAAAAATTAAGATGAATAATTGATAGTTTATGGAGGTAGAGGAGTAGGAAGGTAGAAAGACAAGCAATGAAAAGAAAAGGTAATGCAAGATAATCAGACCTGTTAAAATCATATAAACAAAAGTTTATCAGAAACAAAAGAAGAAATATTTAATTCCTTCTGAAAGAAAACAGCTTTGTAGTAAGTGGGACAAGGGGAGTGAAAATTTGAGCTAGGGCTTAAAAGGAGAACAAGATTTCAATAACAGGAAACTAGATTTTCCCGTGACAAAAACATTAGTCAATATTACTAGAATTGTTGATTTTTTAAACCTTAATAGTAGATTTTTTTATTATGTTAATTTTAACTTTAATCTAGTTTCTTCTTTTGCATTGTCTTTGTATGATTTAAGTCTTCCAGAGGATGTAGTTCTATTTTAATAATGGACTAAAATAACCACCAATGGCATTTTCACACTTTCTGCTCAGGTGGAATGTAATGCTCTGAAGAGGCAAGAATGTCCCAAGGCTTTCGGCTGACCACCCCTCCAATGGCCATAATATAAAACTTATTTGAATCTAACCTTTTCATTGTAATAATTGAGACTATAAACGCTAAACATAATTGATTTCAAATCCCAACTCTGTAGTTTTCAAGCTATGTACTTTGAGACAAGTTATTTAAAACTGTTGAAACTGGTGAGCCTTGAGCTTTTCATCTGGACAACTAAGACTCTTTTTTAGTTAATATGTGAATTATCGAGCTAGCACAGTGCTTGTTTTCTGGTTGAGAAAGTCAATAACTCTTCATTATACCCTTTTGCTGTCCACTTCCACAACCCCAACCAGAATAAAAATCTCCAGACTTATTAAAATTATACTGCATCACAAAAATGAAAGACTATTTGTCATTAATTCAGTGACCATAGAAATTACGTATAAATGAGGAAAATGTTCCATATAATAGATTAACCAGCATGCTGTCTTCCCTCTGTAAAGCCCCCTGGCTGATTCCATTGCACAAAAACACTCATGCCAAATAGATTACTTTCTAGTTTGCCTGCATATTTCAGCCTCTACAAGTTAAGTCAGATGAGTTTGTTCCCCAAAGCATTCACAGTGGTTGTACTTATTGTTCTATTAGTTCTATTGGTGAAATATAATTTTATGTTATGTAACCTAGTGAAGTACGATTACATAAAAGATTATTTATTTCTAAAAGAGCCAAATTGAGTGCTTTGGAAAAATTGAGTATGAGCAAAAGAATCACAGAAGAAAACCAAATCATAAAAACCTAGATGTGTTATGTGCTTGGATTATTTGCCAGTGTCTCTAAATTCCTGATCATCTTTAAATCCATTAGGATTCAATGAATGCATTATGATTGGGCTTACGGTGTATGTACTCTGAAGAGCTCCAATCAGTAGTCTAATACTCAAAGTAGAAGCCTTATTCCTCAATCAAAAAATTTATAAATATATGTATATTTAAATGTTTTGAGTTGAAATAAAACATTTAAGTTATACAAGAGTCATTCTTTTTATTTTCTGCTGTATGAGATTTTTTGGAATAATCAACCAACTACTAATTAGGTCAAGTGAGAGGGCTTCTATGGCGTGTTTTCAAATATTTAAAAAAATATATTTTTCCATGGAAGAGGATAGGGAATAATATGAAAGAAAAATCTGAATTTTGCTAAAATGGAGAGGGTATAGTTGATAAATTTTTCTTAAAAATTAAAAAAAACCTTAAGGCCATGTAATTTTTATTAATTGCTCCACAAATTCAAGGTGCATATGCAGTTACAATGCTTGTTTTTCTAAGTTGTCACTAAACTCCCCACCCACCCCACTTTACTAGCAAGAAATTCACATTTCCTTCTTGAGGCCTTCTACCTCTGAATTTTTCAGAAACCCTTGGGGGACCCTGGGAACTTACACAGATAAAGGGGAGTCAGGGTGGTTTCTATGCCAAGGCAGAAGAGAACTGGGGCCAGTTCAGCACGTGCTGCTGGTCCTTCCCACCACGCCCAATGTCATTAGTGAAGGCTGCTCTACAGACTGACAGGACGTGCTGGTTCACTCACTCATTCCAGAGGGCTGCCCAAGTTGGCATGGGTTCTTTGAGGACATTAATCCATTTTCTCCAGCTAAGTTAAGGTTTCCTCATACTTGTGGTTCCAGGTTTTAGCTCTGCAACACTTTAGTTTCCATGCAAAACCCTGTCCTGAACCACTAGTTGCCTCAACAGCACTGAGTTAGAACTTGTTCTATTGTGTGTGTGCCATCTCAGACACCAAGTTGCTTTCTCTCTCCTCTTCGTGAGGACCCATATTTAGAAAAGAGGAGCTTTCCCTTTCAAATGATCAAGACGAAAGATCTAATTACCCCTGCTTTCCCCAAACAATGGGACAAATCACTTTTTAAAGGCAAAAACACCCTTGCAGCTACCAAAAAAAAAATCAAACCCACTGTCATCAAGTCAATTCTGACTCATAGCAACCATATAGGACAGAGTAGAACTGTACCACAGGGTTTCCAAGGCCGTAATCTTTATGGAAGCAGAATGCCACATCTTTCTCCTGCAGAGCGATGGGTGGGTTCAAACTGCCGACCTTTTGGTTAGCAGTCAAGTGCTTAACCACTGTACCACGAGGACTCCTTTGCAACTCCAGGGTTCCCTTTATATACTCTTTCAAGTGTGCCTACCTATCCATATATGACAGTTGCTTTCAGTGGTGTGAAGGTGATGTTCCAGAATTTCTCTCAATAGAAATGGGGGTGGGGGTGGGGGGTGTTGAGATTAAAACTGACAAAATACTTCCTCTGTCAGGTACCCAATACTAGCAGTTACCTCTTAGTTACCTCTTTCTTTTTTAAGCATATAGTATGTATGTGTTTATTTATGAGAATCATGACTGGAATCTTTTTTTTTTTTTAATTGTACTTTAGATGAAGGTTTACAGAACAAATAGTTTCTCATTAAACAGTTAGTACACATATGACAATGGTTAACAACCCCACGACATGTCAACACTGTCCCTTCTCAACCTTGAGGTCCCTATTACCAGCTCTCGTTTCCCCTCCTGCCTTCTAGTCATTGTCCCTGGACTGTTGTGCCCCATTAGTCTTGGTTTCTTTTATGGGGCTGTCTAATCTTTGGCTAAACAGTGAACTTCAAGGGTGACTTCGTTACTCAGTTAAAGGGTGTCCGGGGGCCATACTCTCGGGGTTTCTCCAGTCTCTGTCAGGCCAGTAAGTCTGTTCTTTTTTTGTGAGTTAGAATTTTGTGCTACATTTTTCTCCAGCTCTGTCTGGGACCCTCTGCTGTGATCCTGGTAAGAGCAGTCAGTAGTGGTAGCCGGGCACCATCTAGCTGTACTGGACTCAGTCTGGTGGAGGCCGTGGTAGTTGTGGTCCATTAGTCCTTTGGACTAATCTTTCCCTTGTATCTTGTTTTCTTCATTCTCCCTTGCTGCTGAAGGGGTGAAATTAGTGGAGTATCTTAGATGGCTGCTCACAGGCTTTTAAGACCCTAGACGCTACTTACCAAGGTAGAATGTAGAACATTGTCTTTATAAATTGTGCTATGCCAATTGAGCTAGATGTTCCCCGAGACCATGGTCCCCACAGCCCTCCGCCCAGCAATTCAGTCCCTCAGGGAGTTTGGATGTGTCTATGGAGCTTCCATGATCTTTCCTTGTACAAGTTGTGCTGCCTTCCCCAGTATTGTGTACTGTCTTACCCTTCACCAAAGTTCCAATACTAGAAGTTGCCTCTTTAATAATACACACTTAAAATACAACCGGAAGATTACTGACGTGTTCTGTAAAATATTACATTTACCAGGGCGCTAATTTTAAGGAATATAATTTATAGTACACTACCTGTCTCCAGAAGTAGTATATGAAACTACCTATTGCATGCCTCAAGAAGAAAAGCCAGACTTTTCTTTTGCTTTGAAGCAATGTCAGTATCAGGTTTTTATTGTGGGGAAAAAGAAAGAGCTTTCTTGGCAGAAGAATTTGCAGGATTTTCAATTTGTTCATTTTTTTTTTCTGAAATCATATAATAATATAAATGTTAAATAAGTAATATATTTGTAACAAAAATGCAGATGCTTGTTTTGGCCACTATTTTGAAACATAAAAGTTTCTTTTGAGTTTGTTATTATTCCCAATATAAATTGACTTTTTTGCTTACTATTGGAAAGAATGTTCCCTTTTTGTACAGTGAATCAACTCAACTCTGACTTATAGCTACCCTGTGTGTGTCAGAGAAGAACTGTGCTTCATAGGGTTTTCAATGCCTAATTTTTGGTAGTAGATTACCAAGCCTTTCTTCCAAGGCACCTCTAGATGAACTCGAACCTCCAACCTTTTGGTTAGCAACAGGGCACTTTAACTATTTGCACCAGCCAGGGACTCCTTTTGTATAGTAGAGCTATTTAATTATTTGTGCTACCAACAAATATAATTAAAAGAACCTGAATAATAAGAGAAAATCTCCTCATACTACAACACAGATATATGAACAAAACTGGGCTCCTTTTAGCAAGTAATGATTTTTATTTAAAATAAAGAACTCCTGGCTTATTAGTGGCCTTTGGTAGAAGCTGAATGACCAAGGGACACCAGGTCAGATAGCTGATGCAAATAATCACAAAACTGGTATAAGAACAAATACAAATTGAAAATAAACCAAAAACCTGTTGCCGTCAAGCCGATTCCAACCCTATAGGACAGAGTAGAAGTGCCCCATAGATTTCCCAAGGGGCGCCTGGTGGATTCGAACTGCTCACCTTTTGGTTAGCAACCATAGCACGTAACCACTATGCCAACCAGGGTTTCCAAATTGAAAATAATAGGTTTTAATTCTCCCTGTTGAAAACAAGAAGCTCCTCTCCTCTGTTCTTTCAGAATTTAGAATTTAAATCTCTTTCTCTGTCTCTTTGAAAAGTATATAAATCAAGGATATTTCCTCAAGGACCTGGGAAACATCTCTTTTGAAATGTAATCATCAAGGAAGACCAGACCCCTACCTCTCAGTTTCCTGGAAGGAGATTAGCCTAACTTCAGATATCCTGCCATAAAGATATAAGAAAATTAGCAATTTTATCTTGAAAACATGAATGTAATGGGCTGTACCCACTTAGCTATATAAAGGGCCAGATGCCTTTCTGCCTTTGCAATCTCTTTAGCAGATTGTCTGCGATGTATTGCATTCTGGTTTAATGCTTATTCAATAATTAAACTTTTGTTTCTCTTCTATTTTTGTGGAGAAGTTTTCTGGATTGGGAGCGGATTTAGTTTTTAATTATAGTTCTCCAACACTGAGCATACTCAATAACTTTTACTCATTACTTTTAAGAAGTCTAAAAAAACTCAGATACACAAGTACATGATACCCATTGCCATCGAGTCAATTCCAACTCATAGCAACCCTATAGGAACATATAACTTACACCCCCAGAATGCATATATTTTATCATAATCCTACCCTTCTTTCAACCTACAACTGTGGTATCAAAGGGAGTTCTCCATGACCGTATGACTGGGTATGAAAACCCCTAGACCTGGTTTACCTAGTTCTGCTTACTACACCAGTACCAAGAAGAAGTGAACTTCTGTGGCTCAGAGATGTTTCTGCAGCACCAGTGGGCAGATCCTCCAGCAGAATATGTGTCTTCCCACTTTGTCTGGGTAAAGAGACAGCTGACGGTCAGGAGCACACCAGCTCCAGAAAAGCTGCTATGGTCTTGCCAAATTATTAGAGACTTGGGAGGAAGGAGATTAGGCCATGGCCAATACGGAAATTTGGAAAAGGGATGAATAGAAACATCTCTAAGAACAGTCCTTGAATAGATATACACTTGCATCTCACATAAATGTTCACCAGTTGGATCCCCCAAAATTCTTAATAATCAGTTAGATATGCTAACCTACTCTAAGAACATCGGTCACCCTTGTCCCCCAACCATAAACCAAACCCGTTCCGTGGAGTGATTCCGACACATAGCGACCCCATAGAACAGAATGGAACTGGCCCATAGGGTTTCCAAAGAGCGGCTGGCGGATTTGAACTGCCAACCTTTTGGTTAGCAGCCCAACACTTAACCACTGTACCACCAGGGTTCCAGGGTGCATATTAAATGGATAACAAAGTGGCTTTGGTGGCTGCGACTGTAGCTACCTACAGGCAGAAATATTCACCTTGCCTCCCAAAAGCTAACTCGGCTGCCGCTCACTACTGAATGCCAATAACTACTACTATTAATGAAAATAGATCTGTTTTTTTCTGTTTGTCACAATACTGCCCTAAATTTGCCAGAATCACCTATTGAGGACTCAGCAGAGCACCAACTTTGAGAAAACATCTTGATATAGAAGTACGCCATCTTGTGGAAGACCAGTAATTGATTTGTGGTGGTTTTACGGAAGGGGCGAAGTGCTTAAACAGATGGCCTGGGAACTGAAGGGTCGGCAGTTCGAAAATCACCAACCGCTTTCGTGTGAAAAAGATGTGG